AAGCTATTAAATTTTTGTTTTTAAATATTTAAACGTTGTTATTATTTGTTTATATGCTAACTGATATTTTACWTATAATTTATGTTTATCTACAAAAAATATGTAATAAGAACGATATTGTTATTACCTTCAAATGTAATGGGTAAGATACAAAAATAATTTTGAACACGAAGCTTAACATGTTAGTGATCGCTGTCTATTGTCTACTAAACTGTATAAATAAGGTAAACATTAATCATGATTATATTATAATATATCAATTGCATTATCAGTATTTACAATTTTTAAAGAATTAAAATTTTTAACCCGTGGAAAATGACAATTAGTTATTTATATTTTTTTTATTAATTTAAATATGGAAAACTATCTATGTATGGAGGGATTATCACTTTTTTAGTTATTTTCAAGTCATTTTGCTTGTCTATATTGATAAATGAGTACACTGAATAATAARTTTAAAGAATGATTACATTCTAATGAGTGAGCTATAGAATGTTCATATAACTAATGTTTTGCTGACATCTTACCATGGAACAGTTTGTGTGTAATATATTATTTTTTTAATTTTAAGTTGCTTTTTGCACCAGGAATCTTAAGAAATTCTTAAGGAGTGTTAAAATAGGTTTGTTGTAATCATCACAAAAATGTATTATTACTCATATGTTATGTATGATCAAGTATTAATAAATATTTTCTGTAAAGATATTTTGATACCTAACGAAAAAATAGAAGGGAAAAAATGTTAATAACATTTAAAGAATTTCAATTGCATATTACCTATTCAATATTTTTTTCACCATTTAATGTATTTTCCATTTCAGGGGAATTGTTTCTGTTAAATATAAATGTATAATGAAATGTAATTTTCCGGTCAACTAAAAGAAGTACTAAATCAAAAATATTCAATTACAATAGACTCATGTCGAAATAATTAATTTGAGTGTGATTTACTCATTTAAAATTCGAATCAATAAAAAAAAAAATCAACCATTGGTTTTCTATACTATTAATAGCAATAATATGTTTATATTTAATTTTGACTTAGTTGCTTTATGATTTTTCCCGATTTTGGTTTGATGCATGTTCATATATAGTTAAAGAAGTAGGTGGTCAGTAGATGATTGATATTGGTGTAGAACTTATAGAACTTATTATTTTTTTCACCACAAGTAACTTTATCGAACGTATTCTATGGTTAAATCTATGTATATATTATTATTTAATAAATAATAAACTTATAWTAGTGGTATTAAATGTCGATTCTCTATTGTTTTATATTTTAAAATTGTACTCAGGTGCATAGTTTACAGTTTCGTGTGACTTTTTTTTTAATTTTACGAAAATATGTGAAGACGGTACGTATGTATATTGTTATGGTGCCAATATAGTCACTACTTTAAAGATGTATGTGTAACACTTTATATGAGTAATTACACACTACGATTTAAATCCAAATTTAATTTCGAACAAAAAAATGTCGTTTTATTGTGTAACGTTAATTTTGCGAATGAAATAAAAAACGTAAGGATATTTTTTCGTTCTCCGATACTGCAACGACATGTTTTACACCACTCGTCTTTTTGCATTTCGTTTACCGGGTCAATATAATTAATGTATTTCGGATTTTTCATGTGATGGCCTGTTCTTTTTTCTACGAACACCAATTGGTTAGTCTACATTTTGTATATTCGGTATCGTTTGTTATAAACATTAAAAAAAAAAGAAAATAATATGGATAATCAAACACATGACGAAAATAACGGTTAAGTGGACATTTGGACAGTTAAAACAAAATTAACGTAAATTAACTGCATACAATATGTTCACCGAATAAGTTTATATAAGCATGATATTTTAGCATCAGCAGTTTGGTGAAAATCCACGAACACATCACCTCCATGTAAAAATTATAAAATTCTGTGATAAACATTAATAGTGAAACAAATTATTTTATTGTATAAATTATTTTTAAAATCAGTGTTATCATTTAAAGGAAAACCAAWTTTTTTTCTACACATTGTATTTGTCTTATCTATATATTTAGTAACAGTAATTCAAATAATATTTTGTCATATAATGTTACATTTACTGAGAAAATATTATTTTACAACAACTCCAAATTAGCTAGGTGCATAATTATTGGTATTAATACTATTTTCATCTTTNCCCCTCGACCAGATTATTGTCAATGAGTAATAGCCTATAAGAATAATGAAAGGTCAGTAGGTAATGTATAAAAATAGTTCTATATCAAACTCTAAGGCCAAGTTATGACTATGTTTATATAGTTATATAATAATTATTACCTACATATATTATAGTGATAGAAAAATACGTAATGACTGTTGAGATTATATTATAATGACCACCTCGGGCATATACACATATTTAGCAGAATCATACGACACTGAGTCAGCAATGAATATATCATATTGTTTTCATGGTGAAACCTCTTAATATTTTAACTATTATAATATAAATATTAGCTGTTAGAATATCAACCAACAGGAGGTTTTACTAGGTATATCGCGCTATACGGTTACACTGATTTAGAGTATTATAGTTGTGTTACATCCATATTTTATTGTATAATTTCTTTACGTATTATAAAATGTAAAGTATGTATAATATTATGTATTTATTATGTATTATAATGATGTAACAAATTGTTTTGAGTTTGTAAGCAAGAATTCCATGTTTTTAAAATATTTCTAAAAAGCTTTACTTTATATAAAATTATTTGACTCTCCCGTCGTGTATTTTCCTTATTACCTATTATACACATATATTTAAGCTCGACATTGTACTAAGACAACATCAATGGTGATTTCATCAATATTCAATTACTATATTATATAGATGAAATGTACCTTTATTTGCATATTAAAACAGATTGTCTACTTTAAAAAATATAGATACTTTCATTTTCATATTATATTGGTCATTGACAGCCGACGGATCAAATAAACTACCGGAGGCAAATCCACTCTTTTTCTAATAATATAAGCTAATATTATCATATAAGTATTAATTGATTTTAATTAAATGAGTAGGAGATAATGAATAAAAATAACATACCTGAATGCTAACATGATGTGTCTTTCCTTGTCAGCTACCGACTTTGAATCCTAATCCTCGGGAAACGAACAACGCGTTTCGTCAGGCTGGAAATACTATATTATGAGGTTCATGTAGATATACGTACAAGTTCGTTAGATAATAATCTCGTTGGAATTTCAATGAACATTTGGTACACCACTATAAAATTAGATTAATTACGAACTTTACGATGAAAATGACGCGGAAACGGTTTGTCGAGCATCAAAGGAAAATCTGGACATAATTGACGTTAGCGTTTTCCAAATACTAATAATAAACGGTGATGGAAAATATGACGGTTACCCTCTCTCTTGGTTTCACGGTTAAACCGAATACGACGCATAACGTGGTTGCCGAATTACCATATACCGTGAGCAGATACCAGACACTATACCGTGGTTACCCCACGTATGCGACCGCCGCGCCGCCATTTTCGCACTGTATCGTGGTAAAATGTCATGAACGCATAACTTATAGAAAGCGTAAAAACGTAGAGGACGATTTTTGTTTCCCCGTTTATTCAATATGTATAATAGTGCGGGGTAAATGGGTAAGATATATAAATATGTAGATTATTATATTTTCAATTTGATCATCAAGACAGGTTACATCACTGTTTTCTTCGTCAAGATAGCCTACATCACTGCAAGATATTTTTATGCCGCTCGTAATTCTATTGTTCTTATAAACAGTTCTTGTCCAGTAGTATAAGGTCTATGCGAAAACCATAAGTGACTTCTGCAAGAAATAATCTTCAAATGTACCTATGTTAATTTTTACTATGTGAAGTGATTAAAGTGATTGTGTTGAAGAACTGAATGGCAAGTGCACTTTAACACCAATGATTTAACACCATCAAAGTAAGGTTTTCACTAGTCATGACCATTAATAATTGTTAACTTACAATAGTCGCCATTATTATCGTGACGATAAAAAATATGCGTTCTATCGTAATTTATTCAGATCTGCTTTCACTCGCTATTTCGCACATTACATTACACAGAAGATAATATAATTTATATTTATATTTTATTATAATATGTGGTTTTTCAGTAATTAAACATGCACTGAATTCTGTCGGACAACGTTAGAACTATAAAAACTGGACTAATACGGTTGTTGGTTTCTGCACTGCGCTCCGCGTACGTCTTTATCGAACCAAATTCAAATTTTTCAGTTAAATTGTAGCCATTGTATTATACCATAATAATTATTAAAACCTTCAAAACGCCTATACTGAAAAATGTTTTCTGCTCGAACATACCGTACTTATTTATTATTATTTTTTTTATCGAATCTGCACCATAGCGAGTAGTTAGGACTTAGGACAGTATCTAATGTTTACAATTAGAATGTCGAACATTTTAGTATCTTTTTTGGGGACATCAAAGACGATGCTTTCCAAGCTTAAAATGTGTGTCAATAACATAC